TATCTAATTTTCAGTTCCTCCGGGTTTCACCATTTGCGATCCACAAGTAATGCCACATCATTAGATATGTCTAAATTATTCCCACCTTTAGAAATCAAAAAAGCTCTTCCCAAAGCACATCGTTTGTACGATAGTTATATTATATATAAGTTGTATCTATTTGACTGTTATCTGTGAGAGGATTTGAGCAAGTGACATTTTTATCTATTTGTGTCTGATTTCAAAAAGGGAACTGCATTCACTTAATATTTTACATTTTCACATAAAAACAATACCTTGGTACTGTGCATGTTTATATTTAAACAGGACTAGTGATTGAAGCGAACTTCGATTACCATTCTACCAATCTGGGTGTTACAAACGAGCATGTCGAAAACAATATTGAAGGATACACCAGATAGATTGCAAATTTAGATTGGCTTTGCAAGATAATTGTTTCTATTTGTTTACTTCATTGCGAAATCGTATTACGCATACGCCCAGTGTCCGCCCACTGGCCAGATATTAATCTATTCTTGAAGCCCTCCCGAATCGTTTGTCTCGGTCCGAAATGGCAATTGCGTATGTCGCCGCCCAGCCTATAAATCTGATGCATGTTGCAAGCCGATGAGTCAGCGGCAGTGGCAGCTGTGACTTCGACCCCGACTGCCGAACTGGAGCAAATCTCCCTCCCAGTCAGCATCTACCCCTCCCCTCCTCGTCATCAGTTTCACGTGTGTGTGGCATTAGCGTCTATTAACGTTGCAACGCCTACTGGGTGTGTGAGACGTGACGCGTCGCTCAAATGGCATAAAGTGCTACATACATACAAGTACAAACATACATATAGTATGTATACATATGTGCATGTATAGTATATATGTCTATATATGTATACTCGCATATAGTTTAATCGACAAAACAATTAGCTTTGATTTTCTTTGGCAGCTTTCAATTTACATTTGCCACTGCTGTTGTTTTAACTTTTGAGCGCTGTTTCAAGCACAGATGACAGCAACAACAACAACAACAGCAGCAACACACTCATCGATACACACACACACACACACACACACACACACACACATAGATACCATATGACAATGCTCAAGGTACAATGTCAAGACCTCGCGCCACATACAACAAAACAACAACAGCGACGACGACATTTCACGATCAGTCGCAAATGTCTTGAGAACTGAAAGCCCCCGCCAACATTAGAAGGAATTCGAATAAATTGTATTTTGCTGTGAGCAGCAACACTTCATAATTTCAATTTCTATCTTGCTGAGAAGGACAGATCATAGTTATAGAGACATTACCTATAGACATAGTATTTATGTATCCAATAGTGCACTTAGAAAGCATCTTTGCTTATACTACTTGTATGTAGATAGCTCGCAAATGGAAATATCAAACTTATTTAACCTACACAGAACTGTTTGTGGAAAATTTGAAAAGATCGCACAAATGTGTATTATTAAGCCATGGTTAGACAGCGAAACAATGTGCATACAAGTAGTTTGTTGTTTCATATTTGCGTAATTGAAGTTGGAAAACAACAATGATTATTGCTTCTAAATTAAAAATTGTACACTTGCACTCAGTTTCATAACAAATTTACTTAATATTATTATTTTTAAAAATCTTTATTATTAAATTTTACGATAACTGATTATTTGAGAACAATTTGTTACAAATATTTGCACCATCAGTCTCTGTTAGATCGTTTTGGAATGAGTGTACCAGAGTGTTTTCTTTTCTTTATCAATATATAATTAAACAATATATGTATATATCTTAATATAGTTGCTTATTCTGAAGAATTGATTGTAAAAATCTTTAAAACCTTTTGTTTTATAATTCTATACGGAAAAATGTATGTCCAATAGTGTTGTCTCACATTCTCAATTTCTGTCTGAATATATACTTGGGAAGTACCAATGAATATATTTAACACACTATATAGTAATAAAGATAAAACCCTCTTTCAGTTTCGATAGAGCAACGTGCTTTTTCCTCTAAATATCAATACAGTCGAGTATTTTTTTCTTAGTCGAATTATAATCTCTAATTTAAAAATTTAAAAAAAAAATACATACGATTATATGTATTTTGTAGAGATTGGCAGTGAAAAACCGTTCGATCTTTGCGTTTTCATGTATGTAAAAAAACATATAGAGATATGTATTTACATAAGCATGTAGATGTGAATGGTCGGTTAGCAGTGGTGCTGTGGCACTGTGGCTCAGCAATTTGGCTGCACCGCTTGGGTGCGCAACATTTGGGCATGATATTGAATTTCAGACTTTCAAATTATCGAGCCGATCAACTGGTCGTCGCATGCGTGTCATCGATATGCTCTATTTGTTGCCACTGCCGAGTTCTTTGCGAGCACGGAGCACCACCACCAGCACCACCTGCTGATGACGTGCCTTTGGTCACATATGTATTAATGGTGGGGAGGGGTGGCGAGAACGGACGGTGTTCTAGAAAGGTCGTTTCGGGTGGCACTTTATGCAACTTATTGATAGAATGGTGCAGCAGCTTATTAGAGTGGTGCTATAAGCCGAATGGTTTTGTTTCAGTGGGTGGCCCCATGGACATTCAGAGGCAGTTATTATTTGGTGGTGCAATGGGATATGTACCATAAATATCCTATGAACCATGATCTTTTCAACTAAAGTAAAATATGTATTAGAACGAAACGAAATATTATGCGATACGATGGAATAAAAAAGAATGGGACTGATTATAATGGAACATAATATAACAGAATATAACAGAACAGAGCGGAATACAATAGAATAGAGTATAAGGAAATATAAACGATTGCAATGTAATGAAATATAATAGAACAGAATGAAAATAAATGGCAAGGTGTAGAACAACATATAATATGGAATAAAATAAGATGGAATGAGATGCAGAAGAATAACAAAGAACATATCAGAATTGAGTTAAAAAACAAAACAATATATAAGTCGTACAATAGAATATAAAGTTGAATAAATATGTTAACAAAAGTACTTAGTATCTTTAAAAGTTATCTGCTGAGGGTCTTAAATGCCATTTTGCAGCCTCGTTTGGTGTGGTTGCATCGATTTTCATTCACACTGATTCTGTGAGCGCTAAGCTGACTATTATGGAGTAATTTTGATGGAAGGTGTTCGACATGCATTGCCAAAGGGTCAGGTAGTACGTATTTAGCAGACAGGTGGTTTACGAGTTGGTTGTTTACGAGCTGATACAAAATAATGCCGTGATTTGTTCAAAGCATTTAATTCGCGGCGTTGTAAGTCGTTATGGAACATGCTATTATAAATACTATTATAATTATTGTTGTCGCAGTTCGTAAATTGTCGTTGTCATTGGCCCGACTATTTTGCATAACAATCGATGGGCGATGCTTGGCATTATTCACGGTTCATTTGTAAGTATGAGAGGGAGACCTTCAGGTGCGTCATTGATGCCACACATTTCAAAGTGTTACACAATAATCCAAAATGTTCTCCATGGGTTAGTGGATTGGGGGGCCACACCCAATCCTCGGCAGTAGAATTGCGCTTTCACTTTTGACGCGACTTATCGGAGGCTGAAAATCTATAAAAACCATTGGGCCATTGTGAATGGGCAGCAGTTGACGCCTTAACCGCAGCAGTGAACTTTGAACTCGATTTGCAGAAAAAATTACTTTGCTTTTGATTTAGTCTAGCCTTTGCCTCTTTAGATGGCCGGTGATAAGATTTTTGCTTTTGCTTTTGTTTTTGTTTTCATTTAAATTAAAGTTGGAAAGCCAGCAAGCAAGCAAGCAAGCGAAATAAAAATGGCGCAATGACATTTAAATTGGCTACGAATTGTGGCCAACAACGGACCCGACCCTTCGAACAAACTGCAACTCAGTCGTCAGGCTTCGGTTTCAGCATCAGCATCAGCATCAGCTTCAACTACAGATTCGGATTTGGTCAAAATGTTTTCATTAAAGGCGGCGCTTGGATTTGTTGGAAATTTTTTCCCTTCAACTCCACCCGACAAGCTTAATTTTTGTACTCTTCAGTAAAATGAAAGAGCATATTGCTTTAGACACAAAAGGGGAAATAATTGTCGAACTATAACAGATCAGACGACTACATATATGAATAACACGATCGGACTGAAATAAAAAAAAAAAAACACCATTACATCTTAAGAATATTAGACTACTACTTATAATATTATATATCATAAAAACGTTAACTAAGATCAGACTAAATCGGATCACTGCAATATACGTAGTATAATATGCCAGATGGAGGCCTTGGTTGTCAAGAATCTATGATAAAGTAAAGGATAGTAAAGGATATGCAGCTTCGTTGCAGCCGAAGATAATTGTTCGAATATATAGCACGAGTATATATTGTTTCCTAGTTTATTTACCTTGGTGTTTGCCATTGTGCTTGTGTTTATATATCAAGAAGGGGAAAAAAATAAACAAACAAACAAACAACGCAACAAACAAGAGCAACAATGAAAAGCGTGGCTTTTATGTTCGGGTGGCCAAAAGCCGCTAAAAGTGGCCAAAAGCGAGCGACAACTTCGGCGACTTCGACTGCGCCCGAATTAAAGTGATTTTTCTTTATTGCTTCAAACCTGAAGCGACTTTTGTTATTGTTGTTACTGCTGCAGCTTATGTTATGGTAGGGCTAAGCAACAACAACAATAATAACAATAACAGCGGCAAGTTTTTCATTCACAACAAAATTATGACTTGTGATCTAATTATGGCTTTTTAGCTTTATGTGTTTGTTTATGTGTGTCTGTCTCTTTTGCATTTGTTGTCTTTTCTATTTATGTGTGTGTGTATGTGTGTGTTTGTGTGTGTGCATATGCATATGTATGTGTATCTAATCGTACTTGTTACCTTGGCATAGTTTTTTCTTGAGATTTAAATTCGACTCTTTAGCCTGTCCCTTACTCGCTGCTCCCTTAGGAAAGAATCGGATGAGTGTAATAATTATTTTTTTTTCTCTTCCACTTTCCAGGCAGTTCAACATTTAAAAAGACAGCACATTGATAGCCGAAATTCAAGTAAGTAAATCCCTAAGTTCTCATTTTGTAGACATTTACAAATATTTCAGTTCGTGAATATAAGTTATTTATTTCTCTCAATAGAAGCAGAATATTATAGCTTTATAAGAAGACATTACTAAAAAAGAACTAGAAAAGAAGAAAGTTGAGCTGAGTTGAGTTACGTTGAGTTGTCTCTCTTGAGACAGTCGATGTTACGTATAAACTAAATAAATATATACAAGTACATACTTTATATCCCGATTGTATGAAAAGTAAATCTGAAAAACGTTTGTGTGGTTAAAAATTGTGCTTAGCTTTGCCATTGATTTTTGTGACTTTTTTATTTAGTCACATTAGAATATACTGTATCTTTTGAATTGAACGCATCTGTGTTAAAATCTTTTGACTTTTGAGATTTCAAAAATTATTCCAAATTATTATTACCATTTCTCTATCCTTTTTATTAATTTATTGAAAATTCTGTTGTAATAAAACAAATCTTATTAAATAGTCAACGTTTTGAGCAAAATATCCGTAAGGGTGGTTGGCTGCACTTGGAAAGTCGCAAAAGCAAATAGAAATCATTTGAATTAGGTGTATTTATTATGAGATTAATAGTGAATAAGGCATCTCAAAATTTCCAAATCCACACGAGAGGGTGTGAGTGATGGTGAATAATGATGAGAAACATTATTATCAGAACAAAGAAAAACAGTAGGGAGGATTAATAAACTATTTTTCCAAAATTGTATCACTCAAATATACTTTTATAATAAATATAATAAGTCTTGGTTCTAAAAAGCTTAGCCAAAGGTCTGCTTAACTTTCTGCAATTAAAATGAAATTCCCTTGACGTACCGAACTCCTTATTAGAAATATTAATTTGAATTAACTTTTAAATGTAAGCTTAAACTTAATGAACACAATACAGAGAAGTTGAATTGCATTGCATTTCTATATTGATTCCAATTACTGTCTTCGACTGAAATTGAATTTTGCAGCACAGACAGCCATGTACTTATTTCACTTTTTGAAAGTCCTGCTCTCTGCGGCGGATATACTGAGTGGATATATAGTATTCGAGTGCCTAAATCTGTTATTATTGGCTGAAGGGCATGTGGAGCGGCAACAAAATAAAGTATGCATGTGTTGTGTGTCCGCCCGATGCAGACATAATTGTGGCCTGATTGGCTGGCTATGCCTGGACATCAAAGACCACAGGAATTGGGCCGAACGATACGTACTCGTACTCCTATGTGAAGCTATGTATGAATATTTGTCTGGCTGCCTCAATTAGGCTTAGAGAGTGGGAGGGGGGGAGTGGTCGGCATGTGAGTTTGGGACAAGAGGCAATGTTGTTGTTAGTTTATTATTTTCTCAATGCAAAAATATTTGAGATAGCAAACAATTATCCTGGGGCAAGATATTTTTGCTCATTGGCCGATGGTTGTTGTTGTTATTGTTGTTGCACGAGCTGCGCTACTTAGTTTAGACAACGAAATAAAGTAAAGTAAGAGCTTTTCGTGGTAAGCCATTGTTGTTGTTGTTGTTGTTATTGTTTTGCGCAATTTGACGCCGAAAAAAACGAAAGACTTAAGAAACGAACTTTAGCATTTTCGTTTGATGAAAATGTTGCGCCCCATGCAAATCTTTAAGGTATGTAGTATGGAACTAGGCGATAGACCAGACCTGGCACGCCCCAACTACTCCTTGGGCTATAGCAGCGACAACAACCACAACAACCACAACAACAACAACAACAACAATGGCAACAATGATGGCTGAACAACGACTCCATTAAGTCAGTCGCATGGCCATATGCTTATTGCCAGTTGATGAATTGCACCATTTTTATTGTATGCTCATATTTATGTAAATTGCTGTACGTCTGCAGCAATTTCATAGGCGTGACACACACATACACACATACATATATATATATATATTTATATATTTGTATACATACTTGCAACTTGTGGCCAATTTATGACGGCCGTTGACAACTGCAAACTCGATTGGATTCGTTTCGATTCATTTGATTTGGCTCGGCCCTTTCACATGACTTGACTAAGACGCTTGACATGATCGCAGAATACATTTGTATTTCTGTTATTTTTTGTTCGAGTGCCGTTAGCTTGATTAACTGCATTATTAATCGATTTACACTCAGACACACACACACACACACACACACACACACACACACACATACACACACCGTTTAATAATCAAAGATATTTGCGTTCGCTGTCAAATTCGTTGCACTCATTAGGCCAATTGATTTACAGTTTTGGGGCGGGTGGTTGTGTTGCCGACAACAACACACAATCGAACATACCTCCACATACGTATGTACGTATGGTTTTGTGTGTTATGGCTTTTGGCCAGAAAAACAAGTCTTAATTGTATTGCTAAGGCCGCAAAGTAATTTGATATGATATACTCGTATGCAAAGCATTCTCTACATATTTAGACTCGTAAGTGCACCAAATCGCGGCATGCCACAAGCTGAGCCTGTCTAGACAACAACAACAACAACAACAGCAACAACAACAACTGAGCCTCCACTTGAAAATTAATCACTTCCCTTTTACTAGAATTTGCATGTAAGCGTTTTTCGGTTTTCTGTATCAATTAAAACGCAATTATGACTCGGAAAAATCACAGATAAAGTCTCTCTCAAGAAACGAGTTACACCCATCAAGGTTATGTGTATATGTGCATGTATGTATGTCTGTGTGTCTGTTTGTCTGTTTGTGGTGGTGTGGTGCTCGGCATGTCCCGTTGTCAGGCAATCAACGGACACCTCAGGGGGGCTATGCCAAAGACTTGAAGGCAGTGGAAAATTGAATTTGGCGTGCTTGTTGAGCTGATGAATGGTCCGGGTCCGCAATGGGCAGCTGTAGGCGAAACGCATGCCAAAATTTGGTGGTTTTTTATTTATGTGTGTTTGTGTATGAGTCGTGAACAGAAAGAGGTGTACAAGTATTTATGTGTGTGTACAAAAAAAAAATCAAAAGCTGTCCCAGACTTGATTTTAACCTTTAATGTCAACAAATTTAGATCGTTGCTATTTCTTGATTTTGATTGAATTTATTTCTTCAACTTCATGGGAAAAATTTTTGGGAAATTGCGGTTAGATGCCAGCAAAAACTGGCTAATACTAGCTTTATATTGAACTATTTATTATTGTATCAATTATTATTATAGCCAACCAGTCGGTCTCATAATTGAGATTCTGTTGAAGAGTAATTTATGATGCTAACTGGAATATTGATTCCAAGAGATTGTCATCTATTTTAAGAACTATATACTTTCTTTGCATTATAAATAATACTTGTGCCTAATAGTTTATTGGAGATAATGGTAGGAGAGGGAGATTAAAAGTGTACCCAATTTGGTGTCGTACATCAATTTTATGTTCAGTGATTAACTTTATTCTTCTGCAGTCAGTTGCCCTTTATCGGTCTTTACTCAAGGGTCTCCAAAATTATAATTGTAACATAACTTCTCTTGTTAGCGTACAACCTAAACAGAGAACAGCAGAGGAACCCACAATTGTAGATGGTTTTGTCTCACCGCATCTAGAAAGAATAGATTTTTATATAGTACCACATTCCTTAAGTGATTTGAAAAAAGTTCTATGGTCGTCGTCTTATGTTAGTATAAACCAATACTACATAACATAATATAATTATTTAAGCAAGAAGTAGTTCGAAAAACTATCGTTACGACAAATCTCTTTGTATGTTTTTAATTGAAAAACTCCTAATGCATTAGAACTAAACGGTTTTTCACATCAATATCCGATTAGCTAGCCATCTACAAAGCGAATTTCTCCGCACCTGTTCAAAAATAATTTGAGGTTTTGGCAGCAACAATTTCCTCATTTGTTTTATGCTTTGATTAACTCAAAAGCACTTAACGTACATACAAAATAAATTAAATAATGTTAACATAATTGTAATCTCAGTCAGCTATTTTTTGTTGTCTTGTTTGGGGTTTTTTTTTTGCGCCAAGAGGAAAAACGGGCACGCCTCGACAGCAACTACAGTAACGATCAAAATTTGCAGATAAATGCCAATAATGTGCACAAAATATGGCATATGCTTGCCCACACATACTCAGACACACATGTGTGTGTGTGTGTGTGTGGCAGAAACTTTCAAATGGCAAACATGCGATTTTCGAGTTGATTGTTTATTGGTCCACAGAAAAAAAAAAAAAAAAAAAAACAACACGAAAAGGAGACAATAATATTCAAAAACAAATCTAAATAGCACAGCGCAGACACAATTTGACGAAAGCTCAACAATGGCCATAACAACTGCAACAGTAGCAGCGACAACAACAACAACAACAATAACAATAGCGACAACAAGAGCAATAACAAATAATCAAATCACATAATTACATAACCCATGCAAATTAGCCACAACAGCTCGAACATGCAAAACAGACTGAAAGAATAAAATGGAATAAAATGAATAAAAGAATTCGTGTCAACGTCTGCGCCCATTGATGTCAGATAAGAAGATATTGGGGGGCACGCATACAGTGCGTATACGCAATTATACAAATCTTGCCTCTGTCTGTGGGCGCTCGAAGGCTTGGCCTTTATGGGTGGGGCATGCCCCACCAAGTCGCATGTCAATCGCTCTTGCACACTAATTCATATGTTTGTGTCAACAACAATGCGTATACGACCCGTCGCCGTCGCAAATTCAATCCACTAGACAAACATGTCGTTGTCATGCCGATCTTAATCGTGCCTCACGCTGCTCTCGCTGCTGACATCTGTCCCAGCTGTTCCAACTGTCCGATCTGTTGCTGCGGCTGCTGCGGCTGCTGCCTCCGACCGCTGGCTACCGTTTGGCGAATGATTGGCGATCGGTTCTGTTGGTGGTCCCACATCGATCACTGATTGGCATATACTCGTATGTCGTATGTATTGTAAGAATTATACGACTGGGGGCGCCTAGAGATGGGCGTTTGATAAAAGTGTCGCATCGCGGGCT